AAAATAAACTCCACCTAAACTTGGTTCATATCTGACCCAGATGGACTGCAGGTCATAACTTCTTACCTGAAGTTCAGTTCAACTGACACTCACAGACCAGCGGCCACTTCGGGTCTCTCCTCTTGCCTCCCTTTTCCTTCATCCACCTGCTGGCCTCCACCACTTGCTAATGTTATTGAATCTGTGGAAGCTCCGCGATAGCCACCACACGAAGTAACGAATAACGAGCCTATCTAAATCCCAGTAACGAGTAACGCGTTCCCAGTCTTGGCATAATAACTAGTTACTGTGCTCTTACCACAATAATAACATAGTTACTGTAACGCGTTACTTAATAACGCGTTAGTCCCAACACTGCTTATAAGTGATGCAACAATACTCCAGATCTCCAAATCGCACTTCAGGACTAAGATAACTTTGCATATTCACAATTCCAAAATAATCATTTTTTTATACATTACTGGATCTTGGTGCAGCTCGTCAGTTAATTCACTGACTCAAACGAGCAGTCTTGGCTCCCCTCTTCCTTCCATTAAGTCAGCCACACTTTGATTGGCTCCATCTTGCAAACAGAATGTTTGAACAGCTGTGTTCCTGTGATGACCTCATTAAACATATCTGTTCTCATTGACTCAGTGTTTAGTCTGAAAGAAGAGCTTTTGACTTGCATTGAGTGAGATAAAAAATTGCCATTTTATCTTCATATGTAGCTGGAGAAAAAAGAAATTCGACCCCCCTTGTTCACTTATAAAAGAAATGAACAGTCTTTATTTTTATGGTAGTTTCATTTTATTTCCCGTACTGCATGATTGAGGAAAAAAATGAAAAGTGTAATATGTGCCCAATAAACATAACAGCTCTGGGAATCTTAGGGACTAACTACCGCCGCTCCACTTGGCTCATTAACGTAAGCAATATGTGCACGTGGCTAATTAGCATGACATTACATAATGCAAGTTAACAGAGCTATTTCTCAGCCTGTATCTACACACATGGTGTTTACACAAGCACAATCAAAACATGCCCTTAATAGGAAATGTTTAAACAGATGGCGAGTTAAACTGTGTATTCCACCTCAAAGCTTTGCTAACATAGCTCCGGTGTTAGCTACAGGGATGAAGCAGCACCTACCTTTTTCTGCCACTGTTGTCACATAATCCTTAACTGTCTGTATTTACATTCATGCACTCAGCAGCTGGTCTTCACATAATGCTGGCATCTTTGTTGAAGACAAAGGTCAAGATAAACCTTTACCAGATGACAGGTTAACAGGTACTTCCTGTTTTAACACTTGCGCAGATCTGTGTATGAGGAGAGGCGAGTTCCTTTGCAGTAAAAGCTCTGCAGCTCAGAAAGGTTATACATTACTTAAAGTGGCAGCCAAAACTGTTATAAAATGAACTTTTTATGCATTTTGTGCGTTATACTTACAAATGTTGATGTTTTTGTCATTCGTGGTGCTTAAAAAAATGAAAATGCATGAGGCACACTTTAACCTCTCTGAAGGGCTTCAATAGGAGATATCAGAGCATCACCAAACGCACCTTTCAGTTAAAGACGGATGTTTGCCTCTGTTTTAGGTTCTATGCTGCTGAGATTGCCATCGGCCTGTTCTTCCTTCATTCCAAGGGCATTGTGTATCGGTGAGATGGTTTTTGAATCAGCTCGGCTACTCGCGTGTAGTTTCCGGTCCCTTTTAGTTTACAGATGTGAGTAACATCTGTGCGTTTGGATGTTTTTTGCAGGGATCTGAAGCTGGACAATGTGATGCTGGACTCTGAGGGCCATATAAAGATTGCAGATTTTGGAATGTGTAAAGAAAACATGCTTGATGGCATTACCACAAAGACTTTTTGTGGAACTCCAGACTACATCGCTCCAGAGGTGTGTTTTACGGGTTAGCCACTGTCTAGTTGTCGATTGGTTTTTTTTAATCTTTCAGACATTGATTGCAACCCTATTCTTTCTCTTGCAGATCATAGCCTATCAGCCTTATGGGAAGTCTGTGGACTGGTGGGCTTTTGGAGTCCTGCTTTATGAAATGCTTGCTGGACAGGTTTGTATTCATCTACTGCTTACCCTCTTAAATTATTATTATTATTATTATTATTGTTATTGTTATTGTTATTATTTTACCAAAACAACAACTAAAAAAAGGGTCTGCATTTGTGCCTCTCTAGCCGCCTTTCGATGGTGAAGATGAAGATGAGCTTTTCCAGTCCATCATGGAGCATCACGTCTCATACCCTAAATCCATGTCCAAAGAAGCAGTTGCTATCTGCAAGGGGGTAAGAAAACATGCTTGTATGCGCATACATGCAGGGTAACTCCTAATGTGGCCCCTGAAACCTCTGCTTGTTTTTCACTCTGAGCACTGGAGGGTTCGTCATATTATAAAGGCTGCTGCGTGTTAGTGCGCACCCTCCAGCAGTGAGGCTGAACTGCCTCTTAACAGCTCGTGGCAGCAAACGATGATTGTACTTGTTTATTTGCCCTCCACACCTCCTCATCTGTGATATCTTTTTATTTGTTTACTAATGCGTTAAATAGTTACAGTACACATTAATAAAGATCACTGTTTTTCATCTCATTAATAATATTTTGCATGACATAATGACTTTGCATTGCTGTTTTTAATTTAAAAATGCTGCCTTTATGTAATGCATACATGCTACAGATTGATTATGGGTCCGTTTTAAAAAGACTAAACGAATACGACTCATCTTGCATTGTATGTCTTTGTGTAATCTCTAGCTGATGACCAAACACCCGGCTAAGCGTCTGGGCTGCGGCCCAGAAGGTGAGAGAGACATCAAGGAGCACGCCTTCTTCCGCTACATAGACTGGGAAAAACTGGAGAATAAGGAAGTCCAGCCGCCTTTCAAACCGAAAGCTGTGAGTATATGACACGCTGACTCACTTCAGCTGTTCACTTTATCAGCCTTCACTAAATGCCTTAGAAATCTTTGCACAGTAGTTAAGAAAATGCCACAGTTTGCTCAAACCTTTAAGGTAAGTTATCAGGATTAGTTTGTTCATCCTTCAAACCCAACCATCACCTGCCGTTGGTCACTGCACTCACCAATGCAGAGCTGATTTATTTATCTATGTGAGTGTAGTCACCAATGATGAAGGCAGATGTCACCTGGCTCACGTATGGACCAATGGAAATCCACAGTTTCGGCTGTGAATGATTTTATTGGTTGATGCCATATTTTAGTTGTATTTCTCTTTTTTCTCTTTGTTGCTTGTTGTCCTTTTTTTCCTGTCATCCTTCATCAAACTCACTGCATCCCCCCCCCCATCTCTCTCCTCTCCTCTCCATGGCAGTGTGGGCGTGATGCGGAGAACTTTGACCGCTTTTTCACACGCCATCCCCCAGAGCTGACCCCCCCAGATCAGGACGTTATAGTCAACCTGGACCAGCAAGAATTCCAAGGCTTCTCATTTGTTAACCCTGAGTACTCCTACACAGATCACTGACCATGCCGCATATTACTGGTCTGCATTAGTATCTCTTGCACCACACATACTGTACAAAAAAATAAATAAATCACAATTTCATATTGTATTTGGAAGGGTGAAAGAAATCACTCAACATTTTGGAAAATGTGTCTTTTCCTTTTAACTCATCACAATTTGATAGCAAATAATATCACTCTAGTGTTAATGTACGTGGCGTTGTAGCTAGGTAGGGATTAAGCCTCAGTCACACACTTCCCAACCCCCTGGCAACGTGAAATGTGTGTTCTCTGACTGGTTGGACTGGTTGCTGGCTGTTGCTAGGTAAAAGTGTTGCACAGAGGTTGCTGCACCCAAAACCTGCATGCTATTTCTACGTGGAAGATGCCAAATATTTTCTATAGTTACTCTCCAAATTTTAGTGAAACTTAAAAAAAGACAGTTTGCATTCAAAGGAAAAGTCATGCTTTTTAAAATATTTTGGTTGCAGCAGTAAGACACAACTTTTTGCATTTTGCAAGTACTGTGAATCTTTTCAGACAAATCTGCGTGTTCCATATAAGCTAACTGCATGAAGGTTTTCAGCCCACAGCCCTCTTTGTGACCAATTTCACCTAGCAACAGCCAGCAACTTCTTACCATCTGGTCACAGAATACATGCTTTTCCTTAGCATCAGGTGGTTACCAGGGGTTACTGACCAGCAGTTAGCATTAAGTTTGGAAGCACCTAGAAATAGCTAGCCTGGCTCTTTCTAATCTCAACAATAAGGTAACCAGAAGTAAAGCAGATTAACATGTCTCTGTGGTTTTACAGATATGCAACACAACAAAGCTGCGAGTTGTGGCTTAAACTCATAAACAAAGCAGTACAACTGTCTCGCTTTATGGGGACGCTAGCAAGCACACTAGCACAGATATCCTGGTTGGTAAAATAGTGTTATATGATATAAAACCTCCCTAAGATGCTTAAAGGACATCAGTGGCCTGTAAGGAAAGAGCCACATGACAGATGATGACAGTGAAAGGTAGCATTTAGCTGTCCTTGAGCAACCTGGTTGGTTTACCTTCTGGCACTGCTGTAAAGTTTGATAGGTAGCACATAAACAGCGACACATTAAAAGTATAACTCCTAAACAACTTGATTACCAACTTTTAAATATTACAAAGCAGGGTGGTATCTTTTTAGTTAATATGTTAATATTAGAAATAAACATTCCAGTCTGTCATACTTTTTGTGCAAATTAGCATGAATTTGCACAGTTAAACTGCTAGCGAGCACAAACGGTTAACAGTGCTAAACATTGAGTAACAATTTATATTTTGAAGATTGTTAGCTACAAACAGTAAAACATTAGTCTAGCTGCCAGTTGGGTTTTTTTTATACACATTGCGCAAAGAAAAAAAATTTAAGACTTGGTTAGCAGTTAGCCACTAGCTCATTAATCTAGCTCTGCTAACCCTCTCAGTTGAATAACCTTTGCCTTGCAGGTTGCTACATTTGCTTCAAAGATTAAAACATTAAATAAAAGATTTTTGTGTAGTTAATGGTAGTTATTGTTGCCACATTAGTGAGGAGAACCAGGCTAGCTGGCCCCCCCAGCTTCCATTTTTCACATTAAACCAGGCTAACACCTCTGCATAAACATGGGTGATATTTATCATCTCATCTGACTTTCAGAAAAAAATTTTGAATCGGATGTATTTCTTGTATTTCCTAAATAATGTTCACACATGAACATTATTTACAGGTGCTCCACTGAAATGCGACTAAAATAATCAAGTGTCAAGGTGCCAGTAGGCGGCTAATCTTGTTTGCAGCAGCGACACTGTTCTGAGTTTATTGTAGTTTAGCGCATCACGTTACACTGCTGCTCTTGTAGCAGCTCTACTGGCTGTATTTTTATCTTTAGTACAGACATGTTGCTCGCTCCTAAATGCCACACGGCTGCTCACACCGGCAGGCTGATGTCGGAGTCAGACCTCAGGGCCGACTTTAGCCTGCTCCGTCTCTGTTGCCCTCCTTTGTAATTGCATATTGACTATGACAACCTATATTGATGAGTGTACTATGATCACATGTTGGTAATTCATGCAGTGTAAGTGAAAATTGACCAATTGCTTTGCTATGATTGTTTGACTACTAATCATTTTTCCGAATGTTTACTTTTGTCTAAAATCTGCATCAACTTAGTGATTTTTTTATTTTTATTTCATTGTTTGTTGGTTTTTTTGTTTTGTTTTTTTCTTTTTTTTTTTTTTAAAAGCTCTTCTCATGATCAATTTCCGAAAACAATCTCCACAGTTACACTGTTTTTAATGACAGAGATCATATCTCTTTGCTTGTGCACAACCATCTTTGGAGAATTTCACATATGATGAAGGTGTTTCGAGTTTTGTGAAGTCGGTAGTCTGTTAGCTTACAGAAACAGGATGTCCAAAAGTGCCAAAATAAAGTCCAGAATTCACAAGGCTGTGAAACAACTCAACAACTGTGATGAAGGCAGCCATTTTGTGCCATTTTGCAGTTCATGTATAATTATGATATGCATTATACTTTTTGTTCACAAGTAATACAATATCCCATAATTTTCATATATCAAATGAACTGTCTGAGTTGTATTAAACTTTTGTAACTGTTTAACGATGCAGGGTAGTAACAGTGTGTCAAATGATGTTCTTTGAGCTCGTATCAAAAAGAAAAGAAAAAAAAAGAGACAGGAAGGCGATATCAAAGGGTTTGTTTTACAAAAATGCTTCTTGAAAAACTATTCTTCCAGATGAAAAAGCGCTTATTGTGATGATGGCAATGGTGAGGAATACATGTTGAAATAACAAGAGAGTGCAGAGAAAATTATACATATATATATATATATATATGAGTTCTATATATCAGAGAGATACTGTATTTGGATACATTGTTTCTGGATGAGAGAGATGCTTCAGTGGATTGTGTAATTGTCCTGTATGACTGGAAACTGATAATATACTCACTGATGCCTACCAGACTACTTCTGCTGTGTCTGCTTTGTTAATGTTGTTGCACCCAAACACAGTGCATCAGATACCCCCATCCAAGCAGAGGGACCACAAATTCTCAGTGGTCTGTGAAAAGTCCCCTAACTCATCACATAAATTCAGACTTGGTTTGGGAAAAGTGTCATTTAACACACATACAGTGCAGAATAGCAACAGCTAATATCTGCTAGGCTGCCCTCATTCACAATAGTTGTGAAAGGTTTAGCACAATTTTTAAAGCTTTCCCAAAGACCAGAGACGGATGGATGTAGCTACAGTGATAACACGCACTAGTTAATGAAGCCCCCAGTTTAAAGCTTCTGCCACCAACAACAATAAAACACCTTTTTTTCTGACAAACGAGATAACTAAATAAAAGCTATGATCAAAATGCCCCTTTGACACTTTTGTTAGTGAATAAAAACTAGATGAAACTGTTCCGATCCAAACTGATTGGGCTGTGTAGAAAGGCAGGATGAGTTTGGAAGTGATCCAATCAGAAGTAATCTCCCATGCTTCTGGTTTCTCATGAAAATGTGAAAAGATTTTAATGCTTGAGATGAAGGAAAGCGCAAACATATGGAAACATTTCACAGTTGATGTCAAGGGAAATAAGACTCTTTGTAAACCATGTGGAGCATCTCTCACCGGTAAAAACACATTTACACTTTATAATTTAGTTGAATGAATCAACTTTGGGTTTAGTCTGTGATAATCTTTTATTTAGTCAACAAAAACTAAAAGAATTTGGATGCCTAAATAATGATTGAAACTACATTTTTGTAATAAAAAGACTATGCTCATGCTCATTGGCTAATGACTAATCAATCACAATGAACCGTGTAGGCTACCAAGATTTTTAAAAATGATCATCTTTTTAATTCAGTATGACATGAAAGGAGTGACTGAGCAGATAAACTGGAGCAGGAAAATGTTTACTGAGGTAAAGTCAGGTGCTTTGCCTTTAAATTTATAGAGGACCGGAAGTCATTTTTTTCAATTCCAGCTATCGCCCCCTGCTGGCTGTTAAAAAGAGCGCAAGGTTACAGCACAGTTTTAAGCTACGTCCTTGTTTTACGCTGTCTGTGGTCGAGACATAGTAGGACACTAGTGAGCCCTTTAAAAGGTCAGTGTAGGAAATTTCTGTATCTGGATTTCGTTTGCGTCACATGGCTGTTACTGTTGTCTGAGTTGAGGTTGGACTGCCGGGCAGTTGCACATTTTATATTTGTTGACGCATCAAATCATTTAAAATGGCTCTGCTGTGATACTTGGTCAATAGTGAAATTACTACTCCTGTATTTGAATGGAGTCTTCTTACATCTGGATGCTCGACTATTTTGTGAAAACACCTGCACCAGCTTTTTGAAGATTGAACCCACCGCACGGCCAAAATAATTCTGATGGTGTCATGTAGACGTATGAAAAGTTTAATAAAAATGTATAAAACTTGAATGGTTTAACTGTGGCACCTACAAAATTTAATCAGTCACAGGTTTAAACTGATTTATTAGCGTCTTTAAAGCTTGTGACACATAAACCATCAGTCCGATTTATAATTTGAAGAGCTTAGGGTTATCAAAAACATAAATCCACATATACTGTGTGATTATTGTTACTCAGTCTCCATACACCAAGTTTTAATCAATGAATCAATGAAACACTCTGAAGCCACAAACATACACTTGCTTCATGCACTAATGGTGAACACGTGGACCAGTGGTAGAGATGGGGAAAGTCATTTCAGCTGGAAGCCCTGTGATGAAACGAGGAGGTAGGAAACTAAAACTCTGTGTGTGTGTGTGTGTGTGTGTGTGTGTGTGTGTGTGTGTGTGTGTG